GAGAACATCTGGCTACCTTATTTAACAAGTGCCTATAATCGTTTTCTAATTCTACAACGAAAGTGAGGCATATAGATGGTTGTATTGATCACATTAGTTAAAAACATTTTTCCCAGTAGGGAAAATTAATTCAACAAGAAGTTTAACAAGTGATAGGCCAGTAAAAACAAGGCTTTCTCAAAAGAAACAAGGGCATCATTACATACATTTTGCAAAACCAACTTAACACATTGAAATTATTAATTACTAATCTCAAATTATTAACCTATTTTTACTCAAATGTGTTTACATTTCAAACAAGATGCTGAGTTCTCTATTTCAATTAGCTTTTCAATCAAAATTATCATTTTGAAATAGTAAGGTTTATATTAATTCACTGTGAAAAGTTCACTTTAAATAAATGGAGGTATCATATAGGGTGATTTGGGTCTTTTTATAATTTAAAAACTTTTTCTGATGGAATGCCATAAAAATTTGTTTTATCTAAAAGTAAGGTTTTCTGGCTTAACAAAGATTCTTTTATTTCTAGAGAAAGAAAGGAAACTGTAATTCAGTGGTTTTCAAAGTGGGGTCCCTGGGCCAGCAGCATCTGCATCACATGGAAACTTACCAGAAATGCAGGTTATTTTGTAACCCCACAGACCTGCTAAATCAGGAATTTGGGGGTGGAACCAAGCAGTCTGTATTCCAGCCAGCCCTCCACGGGATTCTGCTGCCACTGAAACTGGAGACTCCCTGCAGGTCTAAGGCCTTGCAGGGAGACTGGAGCGTGTCTGGTAGTGTGCTTTGGGTCAGTGCTTGTGAGGCTGCTGGCTGCCCTTCTAAGCAACCCTCATACACCACTGTCTAGTCTGTTTGAATAGTTGGGTGGTTTGCAGCTGTTCAAAACAGTACACACTGTAAAAGCCATTTCACTAGGTTATGTGAGTAATTGTGTGAAGTGCTGTAAAGTGCTTAGTATGTTCGTGTGTGTGTGTGCTATGTGTGCTATGCCTCACAGAGAGAGGACATTATTTTGATGTAGATTATTAGTATTTAAATTATTGGTCTTAGTTCACATTCTCTTCCTCCATACCAAATAAACAAAAAACCATGAAATAGCCTACTCATTAAATACTCGACATTTAAAACCAAGGGGAACTTTCAGGTTCACCTAGTTCAAGCCCTTTGTTTTATGGATGGGAAAACTGAAGGCTAGGGAGGCTGGGAGACAGGTCACAGGTCCCTTAGGAAGTAATAGGCAAAGATTAGAAGCCACAGCTCTTGACGACTCCTAGACTACTGTTTTGCAGAGGAAGCCATTCTTGCTGTATTCACTGCTACAACAGCAGGGCTTGCTCTGGGATTCTCTCCTTTGGCATTGCTAATTATTATCCAGTACTGATCTCTCCATCCTCACTCCCTCATAAATGAACTGACACTATTATTCAGAATTGCAAAGCTGTTATGTTTAAAACCTTCTGGATTACATAAGCTTAGATATACATAAAGAGAAAATCAAGGTGAAAAATACATGCAGAAGCCACAAATTTGTACATTTAGTGAAATCTTGATGCTGAATATGAGATAAACACCACATGCTACATATGTGCAAGTTCAAGTTTCCTGTGTGCATATAGTCACTTTTTATTTTGTATTGTAGACTAATAGATCTGCATGCAAGAAACCAACTTTCAACAATTATTTTATTCTGAAGAATGCCTTTGGGTTAACTGCACCTAGCATAATGCTAATATATGATCTTTGGAACTTCACTAAGTTACACAGCAGTACATGGGAAACAACTTCATATAGAAGAGGGGAAAATTATGTGGGAATCAGAAGAAAAAATATCTATTTTAATTAGAAAAGCCTCTAGCCACATAATTTTTCATTATTCTCCTTTTTCTTTATATTGCTTCAAATATTCCTTAGACATTAAAAAATTACAGAAAATATAATTTACAGCAGCATTGCATGAAAATTCAAGTTCTGAACCTTCTAATTATAGCATAGTATGATTTGAATGTACTCTATGGTATTTCCTTTTCCTTCTATTGTATTTCCATAGCACACATTCAAACCTGTTTATTGGCAGTGACATTTCTTAGACCAATGCCATCCATTCATGTAGTACATGCTGCTCCTTCCAGAAGTCTAGTCATCCTCAAGGTCAAAACTTCATGTGGTATTTTCTACATTACAGGACATGAAAGTGTGCTGTATCCATTATGGGTATGAACAGTTAATTATCTGCTCTCGCGTGCACCTCCTTAATTGGCCTTCATAGAAGGGCTTTAACAGAGGAAGTGGAGGGTCTGTGGCTTACGTAGAAAAATTGTTACACGTCAAGGGAGCACTGAACTAAAATCTCGACCTAATGCATCATTAGAGAAAAAGCCTGAGGTACTGAAAGAACTATCTATGATATTTCCACTTCCGAAATGCTTAAAAAAGCTTTAGATTAATGGCTCTTGATGCTTTTAATGATGTCAAGGCTGGGATTTAAGTGCCTTATTAATTCCCTTGATTTGCTGCCAAATATTAAAGGCAATCTGTGATTACTGAGTTAATCTTTTCTGATTATGAAATCCATTATAGGAAGAAAAATATAAAATTCAGAAAAGTAGAAATGATTCATAAAAATATTAGAATATATTTATAAGAACAGAATGTTTGGACATGGGTTTAAAATTCCTCTGGAAGGATTTGTTACAAGACTATAAGATATCTTTGTATATATTAATATTTAAGCCATTGCTTCATCCTTAAGTTGGACCTCATGTTTTTCATTTTTTAAACTCTTTTTAAACTTCCCAGCCACAGTCACAACACATGATGCGATATAAACCTGAAGTGATTTGTTTAATCTTACTACCCTAATCAGCTAACAGGATCTCTGTCTTCTCAGATCTTGGAGCCTGGAAAAACCCAGTTATTAATTCCGTACTATCTCTTCCCGAAATTCTCTGGTTTGCTGACATGTTAATAAGATTCCAAGAATGTTCTAAAGAAAGCAAAATCACCACTAAAAATGATTGTGTCCTGAACTTACGCATTGTTTTTATTTCCCCCCCGCCTCTGAATTTATTTTCAACTAAAATAAATTCTGTCCTTGAATGTGTGTACATAATTCCCTGGGCAGGCTATGTTCTCTTATTATCAAATATAAATATTGAAAGCCTCTAAGATTGTTCTTAAACCTAAATCAAATTACCTTTGCCAGCATAACAAATACCCCAGGGTGGGTGTATTAAAAGCTCTAAAAAGATTCTGATTTTACATTTTAGCCAAATGGACATGTTTTATTCAAGATCCCCAAACAAAATCCTTATTCAGCTCATCATATTACCTTTGAGGGTGTGTCTTTTCTTCCTTCACTCCTTCACCCTTTTAGGCCCATCCCACTCACTCCCTGCATCTCTTAAGCCCCCCTTTTGCCCAAGGGCTTCAGTGAATTGAGGGCCTACCTCTTCTACCCTTCCAGACTAGAAGCAATGCCTGATTCTCCTTTGGACTCATCATTTCTTTCCCAGGGCAAACATGCCCGATCCTTCGGATTCCTGTGATGGCCCTCTGTATCTCTATCCCTTGGCATCTCAGCCTGTCCCTTGCAGTTCTTATTACAGATCCAACTTTACATTTAACTGTATAATGTTTTAAACTGTTGCCTCTCTCTGTCACTGGGCAGTACTGAAGTCAGGGATCATGTTGTTTCTTCTATTGTTAAGCTTCAACATCTATGTGTCTGCCACAGAGTAGGTACACACATTCCATCTCTTGATTAAGTGACAATAAATGAATGACTGTCCAAAACACATCAACACTGACAGGTGGCTAAAGGATTTAACACATGAGTAAGCACAAACCATCTTTTTGTGAACTCTACCAGCAGTTAGCATTTTTACTGGCCTAAATTCCTATGTAGTCTCTGTTTTCCAAAAGCTTTATGAAGGGGTCTGGTAAGCACACACACACACACACACACACACACACAAACACACACACACGTTTACATGAGCATTCACACACACAGATATCAGTGTTTTGGGTGGTTAAGATTGCAATGGATTTCTTTTTTTTATTGTATTTTTTAAATTTTTTATTGTTATGTTAATCACCATACATCATTAGTTTTTGATGTAGTGTTCCATGATTCATTGTTTGTGCATAACACCCAGTGCTAAGATTGCAATGGATTTCTGATGATAAGTCATATCTCCTTTTGGCAGTCTTTCAAAAGATGGTGGAAAAGTACAGCAAACTTCACTTAAAATGAAATAGCTACCCTGTCCTTATAAGTTTTGATACGTATTTTTAATTTTTACTATTTTGCTATGTGCTATGTTTTTTAGAAAAATAAATAAAACCAGGTTTTGCAGACAGAAAACTTACTTTACATTGCCAAATAGCCCTGAGTGTCCTCTCCAGTCCTTAGTCTCTTCAGATGAAAAATGGGAAGAATTTTAGTAAAACTTCACTGAGAAATAAAAGAGATCAAATATAGAAAGCTTGTGGCCCTGTGCCTGTCGACAGAGTATGTGTTTGCTTCTGCTCTCTCTCGACCTGCCTACTGGTAAAACTCCAGTGTTCACCCTGGAGCCTCTAGTTTATCTGGGTATATCTGTGTGATATAATTACCCTAACAGTCACTTGTTTTAACTTAAAGAAATTAAAAATAACTTTGAAAGGGTCAGAGGGTATTATTTTCCTTTCTCAACAACAAAACAACTTAATGTTTGCATTTGAAACATATATAAAAAGACATGTTTGATTATAGAACCTATCCTTGGATTTTGTGTTAGGCTGTGTTTTCACCAGGAAAAAAATACTTTTTCAAACTTGAAAAAAAAAGTAATACTTTTCTGAGATTCCTTTCACACACACACACACACACACACACACACACACACACACACACACACA